TGGACGACTCCCGCACCTCGATGGAGACGCGCAGTGGTCGCAACACCGGGCACTCTTCGGCTACTTCAACTGCCAGTGCCGCATCACCGCCGGACTCTCGAGCCGGGTCGACAACCTACGTCACCCTGCCACCCCTGCGGGATCCAGGCACTTTCTCCACTGACGGTACCATCGACGTTGACTCCTGGCTTCACCGGTACGAGCGGGTCAGTGCTACCCACCGCTGTGATCCCACGCTCATGCTCGCAATGTTGTGTTCTACCTCGATGGCACGCCGTGGACATGGTTCGAAACCAATGAAGCCGAAATCACAGGCTGGTATGTTTTCAAATCGAAGATCCTTGATCTTTTCGGTGATTCATCTGGTCGTCATCTCGCTGCCAAGAAGGCTCTCGCCACTCGCGCCCAGACTTCTACTGAATCGTACGTTTCATACATTCTTGACGTCTTGGCGCTCTGTAGCAAGGTCGACCAGCGCATGTCAGAAGACGAAAAAGTTAATCACGTCCCCAAAGGGATTGCTGACGATGCCTTTAACCTGCTGGTTTTTAATAATGTCACGAGAATTGACACGATCCTGACAGAATGCCGGCGTCTAGAACAGGCCAAAGCCCGCCGCGTCACCCACGGCATCACGCGCCTGCCGAACACAGCTGCTACTTCCTCTTGCAATGACGCCGTCCGCCCAGTTCCCCGATGTGACAACCTCACCCGCATCATTCGTCACGAAGTCGAGACAGCTCAACCAATAGCCACTCCATTTCCAACGCCTGATCCTTCACCGACCACTATCTCACTGATACAAGCCGTCGTTCGTCAAGAATTATCGAACGTCGGCCTACACCCCGTTCAACCAGCCTATTCTGCCGAGTCTTTTTATCGTGGTCCCTCCGCTCCTCGCTTTGGTTCCAACTACTCTCGACAGAGCAATTTGTGCGAATGGCGCACACTGGACGACAAGCCTATATGCTTCAACTGCTGACGTGTCGGTCTTAGTGCTCGCCACTGCCGCAATCACTGGGCTCCGCCGGCACACTATGGGCCTCCAACCCAGGCCACTTCTGTCCACCAGTCGTCTTCAGCATTTGATTTTGATTCCCCTATGCCGACCACATCCTCTGATTTTGCCGCACCTCTGACGAGACCTCGCTACGCCCGCTCACCATCCCCTGCTCGCCGTCAATCTCGTTCGCCCCCACAACGCCATTCTGCCTCTCCGACCTATTCGCAACGCCCCCGACCGGAAAAGTAGGCAGTGCAGCTTCTGGAGGTGAAGCTGCATTGACGACGACCTCTGCAAGAAATCATCGTGTAACATTACCGACCACCCGGAATCTCTGGAAAGTTACTTTAGACAATGTACCTGTGCGCGCGTTAATCGATACCGGCGCGCACGTGTCCATAATGAGTGCTGCTCTTCGTCGCCGCCTAAAGAAAGTTATCACAACCGCTTTGAACCGAGCCGTTCGAGTCGCCGACAGGGGAACTGCCGCCATTATTGGCATGTGCTCTGCCCGTGTGACTATCGCCGATAGAAGCACTGCTGTTCTTTTCACCGTTATAGAAAATTGCCCTCATGAAGTTATTCTAGGCATGGATTTTCTAACCGCTCACTCAGCCCTTATAGATTGTTCAGCTGGCTGTCTTGGCCTTGAAATGCCTCTACTTTCTGATCAACCGACCCACCCCGAAGCCGTCTTTGCTGCATTGATTTCGCACGCCTTCCGCCTAACTGTGTCACACATATCGACCTCTTCTCTACGCCACCTGTACCTGACGGCGATTACATGGTGGCACCAATTCATGCCGTGATGCTTACGCATAGCGTCGCTGTTCCGCACATCATTTTGACAATTTTTGAAAACTACACATGCCTTCCTATTGTCAATTTTGCCCTCACTGCCCAAATTCTTCCACAAGGTATCTACCTGACCGAAATTACTGCCCTACAAGACCATACGGTTGAATCCTTCAGAGTGGATGATTGCTGCACCTCAGACCATGAACCAACTCTATCACGTTCATCGGGCGCCGACGTTTGACCACATGGTACCATCAGACCTCGCTCCTGATCAAGCGGAAGCCCTTCGTCACGTCCTGGAGTCCTATAGCGACATTTTCGACTTCGCCAGCACGGCCTTAAGCCGAACGAGTGTTGCTACTCATCGCATCAATACTGGCGACGCGAGTACCATTCGCCGACGTCCATACCGTGTTTCCGCGTCCGAGCGTACAGTCATACAACAGGAAGTCGAAAAGACGCTTGCAAAAGACACAGTCGAACCCTCCTGTAGCCCCTGGGCTTCTCCTGTCGTCCTGATCAGAAAGAAGGATGGAACATGGTGCTTTTGTGTAGATTATCGGCATCTCAACAAAATTACGAAGAAACATGTTTACCCGTTGCCTAGAATCGACGATGCCTTAGACTGCCTTTACGGTGCTACGTATTTTTCCACTATCGACCTTTGATCTGGCTATTGGCAGATCGCTGTGGACGAGATGGACCATGAGAAGACCGCATTCGTCACTCCTGACGGTCTTTATCACTTCAAAGTTATGCCCTTTGGTCTCTGTAATGCGCCGGCCACATTTGAAACAATGATGGACTCATTGCTCCAAGTGTTTAAATGGACAACCTGCTTATGTTAATTAGACATTATCGTTTTCTCGCCCGCATTCGATTCCCATCTCGAGCGTTTATCGGCGATTCTTGAAATTTTTCGTCGAGCCGGACTTCAATTCGCTCGTGGTCAAATAACCGTACTTGGCCACGTCGTCGATGCCACAGGAGTGCGCCCGGATCCCGAGAAAATTCGTGCCGTCACGGACTTTCCTGTTACGAAGTCAACAAAAGACGTTCGCAGTTTTGTGGGCTTGTGCTCCTACTTTCGACGGTTTGTTAAGGATTTCGCGATCATTGCACGCCCACTCACAAACCTCCTGAAGAATGACACCCCGTTTTTCTGGGGCGCTGATCAAGCTTATCTTTTTCCCAGCTCACGACGCTCCTTACAACACCGCCGATTTTAGCTCATTTCGATCCATCAGCTCCAACCAAGGTTCGCACTGACGCTAGTGGGCACGGCATAGGGGCAATGCTATTGCAACACCAAGCGGACATGACCGTGTTATAGCGTATGCAAGCCGACTGCTATCTACCGACGAGCGCAACTATTCAATCACGGAGTGTGAGTGTCTCGCTCTTGTGTGGGCAGTCGCCAAGTTTCGCCCATACTTATACGGGCGTTCATTCCGGGTAGTCACCGACCACCACGTGCTCTGCTAGCTGGACTCACTCAAGGATCCCACAGGACGCCTCGCTCGTTGGTCCCTACGATTACAAGAATACACGTTCACCGTAAAGTACAAAACAGGGCGGTCACATCAAGATGCGGATTGTTTATCACGCTACCTTGTGGAAGAAGTTGCCCATACTGACACCTTTCTAGACCTTCTGTCAGTGACGTAGCTACTCAACCTTGGCCACGAACAACGCCGGGATGCTTCCCTGCGAATCATCATTGACATGCTTGAGTCAATGCCTCGCGACGCATCTCTACAAATGTTCCCGGTTAAAGACGGGACCCTGTATTGCCGTAACCTCGATTCATATGGCCATGACTTGCTCCCCGTCATACCAGCACATCTTCGTGCGACTTTGCTCAACCAACTTCATGACGCTCCTTTGGCGGGCCACTTGGCCGTCTCTCGCACATACGACCGTGTACGTCGTCGTTTCTTTTGGCCTGGTCTTGCCCGCTCTGTTCGACGCTACGTCGCTGCTTGTGAGCCCTGCCAGCGCCGCAGAAAGCCATCTTCCCTACCAGCTGGATTCCTTCAGCCGATCGACATTCCCACTGAACCTTTTTTTTTTTGGATTGTCAGCTCTGCGCCGTTCTGCCTTCTCGGGTGCTGTTCAGCGACATGTTGCTCGTGTTCGCGCCCGCTTAACGTATGTTTTTCTAGCAATGTTTTTGCTGGCCACACGACAGTGAGGCAATGTCAAGTCATCGGCGGCAACGACACTGCTTTGCACCTAGGTGCGAAACAGGGTATACCATTGAAAAAAAAAGTGAGCATCCGCCAATTTTCGCTGCACCCAAAGACGAAGCACGGAAGGTTTGGGAACTGAATTTACATTGAAAGGATGGGACCTTGAACGAAAGCTGCTCTGTATGTGAGCTACGCTTCGAGCCTACATGTGTTCTCGGAGACTACGTGCACGTTATAAACGGCGAAGAAGTTCGCATACCACATAGGAGACCAGAAATAATGCCGGACGCTGTGCCGATATTACTGCCTAACACTCCAAGATACTTAACGAAGAAAGCGCCGCATCCAAGACCTCCGGCCCACGAAACACAAGAAAAGCTAAAAAACTTCTAGTAAATGTCCAAAAAGGATAGTCCAAAAGTATATAAGAAGTCTTAATGCGATGTTAGTTAAACCTAAGCAGCTTGAAAACCTCCTGTAGCTGTGCTAACGCCATGTTATTATACGGCTAGAAAACTTCTAGCAAGAAGTCTAAAAAATGTCTTCCTAGATTTTTCAAAGAACTTTTGTAAATATTTACAATACCTATATTATCAGAAGCCTAGTAAACTTCTTGCCGAAATTCTAAAAAAAACTTTTGCTAGATCTTTTACCATCTTTTTTAGACATTTATTTTTCATGCAAACCAGCTTGTTGCGTGTTCCCCGTGGTTAATTTGCTGCACCATGTCAGCGTTTCACAATCAGTGCATTTAGCATTCACTGTCGAGAGCGACAAGTAGGAACAGCAACATAATTTGGCATGAAATTATGGCTGGAACTATTCTAATGAGCAAAATTGGTGCCATAATTGTTGAAAGAAATAATTAGTGACTGCCATCTATCATTACGATAATCTGTTTTGCTTGGAGACAGGACGGGCTTTTAAACGTCCACTCAATGTTTCTGGTGTTGCCTGGAATGCATTCTACTGCACATACAAAAGTAAATGCAAAATTTCCACAAATCTTGTTGCATACTTGTAACCTTTATTAAACTTGACAATGACTGCACAATTTGTCCCAAAACTTGCATGCTTTATAGTAACTATATTTATACAAAGCGATTGAGGGGCTGGCCAGATGCTTGGTCCAGGAACCTGCACACATACAAAAGGCACTGTTCTCTTCAAGCAGACTTCTGTCAGTGCAACGAAATTCAGAAGGCTAACTTAGCAAACACATTGGCCCAGTAGCAAATACATAAAGGTAGAAAATTTGTTACAGCCAAAAACCAGCAGTCGAACAATTGATTTTTTTCTCATCTCCAAATTTAGGTATAGAATCTAGGTAGTTGAAATTCATGTGTTTCACCACAAATCTGTGTTAAACAATCAAATTGTGATTTTCGCAACACCCCGAATTCTAATTCCATCCCAAAATACTCGCACAAAATACACAGTGAAGTTAAAAACGCTACAGTATTCCAGAATGCCTTCTGTCAGTCATCATTAACAATGTTAAACATGGTTAGGTATCACTAATATGTCACAAATGGTTAGATAATGGCAAAGTTAGGTATGATTAAGTATGACAATAGAAAGTCACCTGATTGAACTTACGGCATTAAATTCCAGAAGACAATAAAATAAGGTTACAACAACAATAAAACAAAATATTCATTCAATATTACAGTGAAAATAAAACCATTGATCTGCTACAGCCTTATTGCAATGCAAAAAGTTCAATTTTAAGTGACTAACTGCAGACTACACCTATTTGAACATGACATAAAACCTTAGAAAGCAGCACTGACACATTCAGAGACGTGCTTTGTGCTTGTAATAAAATTTAGCTATAAGAACAGAAAACTGCCTTTGCAGATAAGTCATGTGTCCAGGGGAACACAAAGAAAGATAATGCTGTCAACTGCCCAATCAACTAATACCGAAATTTCGGTGCCTACGTTAAGTGAGTATGTTTGCATAGAGCAGTTTGTGGCAGTCGTGTTTCTACACACTCCCACTTGGAAAAATTCTTCGAGCATGTCTATGCTCTGAGAATTCCTCTCGGAAGTTTATTGTGTCTTTCATGATTACTCATGCAAGGCAGCGAGGATCAGCAAAATATTACTCCCTGGTGAGACAAGCAGTCAGTGCTTGCTATATTCCAGCCGGTAGTAAAAAGGTTACCAATATAATGCTTCTCTATGGCTTCGATCCATGATCAGATTATATGCGGCACCTCAGGGAGTAGTAGCTGTGTGCTAGTGCTCACTGTCCTGCATGCATAATAATACAAGCCACAACTATTTTTTCCAGCGGGATATCTGAGCACAGGCATGCCAGAATTCTTCGAACATATGTAGAAAATTGACTGCCTCAAATTTTTAATACGTGCATGACCACCTGCTGCCGTCACTAATAAGTTCATTATTGAATCTTATTCAAGGGCAAGGCTGACAGTGATAACTAATGTTGCACATTGTGTTCTCCTAAACACTTAGATATCTACAAAGGTGGCTTTTACACACACAACTTACAGCATTGAGTTTTTTTAAGAAAAAACAAAAGGCCTAATATTGAACATACTGAACATGCGAGCTACTTAAATACAGCAACCAGGAGGCTCAGGGAAGTACCCTTTCCATAGGAAACAGAAGTAATGTGCAGCTGCTGTACATTCAGAAGCCAACTTTTCCACGAGCCACCATTGATGACAGGTTTGTCCGAAAGTCTTTCACACTCAGTTCGTACGAGGGGCATGCATAGGCTGCGATGGAAACACCAAAAAAACAACTTAGCCACATGTGTCTCTTAGAAAAGCTGAATTTGTCAGCATATATAAAATGATTCGAAGCAATGTGTCTTAAAACAAGCAGAATGTACACAAACTAGAGATGTTACAAACAAAACTTTCTTGATGTTTTTGGTGAACACAGTTGCAACCTTATAAAAAAAAATGCAATTTTCACATTGCAGATGTGTCAAAACCATGCTTCGAATTGCGCTCGTGCAGAGTGCGTTAAAAGCAAATTCAATGATACCTCCACACATACATGATGGTGTGCACTTTCATCAAGTATCCATTGTAGGTAACCAATATTATTGAACATCAATTCGATTTCAAATACAACTAATTTACCTTTTTTCAAGCTGCTCACACCGGAACAAATATACCTATAATGTCATAAATTGGTGTCAATAAATTGCTATTGTGTTCTGCCAAAGTATGGTCATCAGTTTCAATGATTCTGGGAGGCTAAAATGGCAATACCCCTCACTCAAGCAGCACAGGCTGTCAATGCAAAAAAAAAACAAAAAAAAACATATGAGGCACTCATCTTGAACCACACACCATCCCAACAAAGCATGCAAGCTTCTGCAACGATCTCAGGGAACCAGAATCTTGGAAGTTGTTGACCGCAATTTAGCAATAAGATTTGATGAAACTGATTTCCGAATTAGTATAATTCCTTTGCTGCCAATAGCTTGAAAACTTTCAGTCTACATTTATTATTCTCAAATAAATACGGTGTTCAATTTTACATTTTAACAGCAATACGTGGATGACTTATGCATGCTTACCATGATTTATAACATTATCGCAAGTTTTGAGTGATAAATAAAATTTTGATTCTGCACATACCACAGATTCCGTCAACATCTGTAGAGCATGTCTAGAGAGTTCACTTTATCGAATATACTGTTAAGCTTGTCATTAATCCGAAAATTTTATTGGAGGTGGTGCTACAAACTGTTCGTAATGTTCATAAATGTAAAAGTGTTTAGCAAAGTTTCTACAGCAAGGTTAGGTGAGGTGCGTAAAATATTTAATAAACCAAATCAAAATACTAGCATAATGAAAACAAGCAGAGTAAAATCGATTGTGCTCGAATGCGTGGTCTTATGGCTGAATTAGTGCTCGCACAGTAAGGTAAAGCAATTTGGCCACATTTAGCTATGAAATTTAACACTACGTTATGTTGGGCTAGTTGGTACATATTAGGCTGAAATACGTGGCGCAAGGTTGACAAAGAGAAAAAAAGACGAGACAGAAAGAGCGCCAACTCACAACTAAGTTTATTTTCATGAAGCATTCGCAATATATAGGCTCTTGGAGGACATGCGCAGACCATTTCATTCACCGCACGTGCAGGCATGAACATTTTTATGATGTAATAACCGATAATTGCAATTATGAAATCTGGGAACCACCATCAAACAGATATGCCTAATGCAAACACGTCGAAAAAAATGTCTGCTGGAAGTTCAGCCCTAGAACGAGAAAAGGACTTCTTTCTTATGATTCTGCACATTCTAAGGTGGTGAAGAGGTCTATGGCTGCTATGTGTTTTCGTTCTTCACTGTCCAAGTCATGCCAGCACACAGTGTTTGATAGTTTTTCCAATCAGGTATCGCGGCTCACTGCAGCCGGGTTTCCTTATTCGGTCTTAGTGTGTCTGAAACATTGCTGCAGAGGATGAAAGGGGAACGCAGGAGGCCAGAGCAATTGCAAGGACAGAGGAAAAGACCGCATGTTGTGCCATACATGCACAAAATCTCCCACAACCTGAAAAAGGTTGCAAATCGGCACCATGTGCCAGTGGTTTTCTCTGCTTCAAATAAGCTTTCAAGGCTCTGTGCCCCCATTTCTTCAAGAGGTGCCAAGGTGGTGTGCGATAAGAAGCATGTAAAGCTGTTCCTGTGTTGTGCTGTGGGCACTGTTTATGAAATTCCCTTGAGCTGTGGCAAGGTCTATATAGGCCAGACAGGGCGCTGTACAAATGACCGTCTAAGGGAGCATGCCTTATCAATTAGGAATGGAACAGGGTCTCATTTGCCCTTTCACTGTGCTTCGTGTGGCTGCACGCCGCAGTTCGATCGCACGCGAGTACTTGGAAGGAGCCGGGATGCGCTGGCGCGGGAGTTACTCGAAGCCTTTCACATAATGAAGCAAGGTGACTCGTGCGTCAGCGTGCCTTCAGTTGTGTTGCATAACAGTGAATTCCAAACGTTGGATCTAGATGTACTTTAGTTGGGTGCTACGAAGTGTCTGTCAGTCCTTTTTTGCTGGTTTTTCCTCGCATTTTTTTTTTGCGCAGGCTTGGGTGTGTTTGGTTTTTTTTCGACGTCTTTACATTAGGCATATCTGTTTGATGGTGGTTCCCGGATTTCATGATTGCAATTATCGGTTATTACATCATAAAAATGTTCATGCTTGCACATGCGGTGAATGAAATGGTCTGCGCATGTCCTCCAAGAGCCTATACATTGCGAATGCTTCATGAAAATAAACTTAGTTGTGCGTTGGCGCTCTTTCTGTCTCGTCTTTTTTTTTCTCTTTGTCAACCTTGCGCCACGTATTTCAGCCTAGCTATGAAATATTTGTTCTAAAATACAGCTCACGATGAACGAATGGCTTAAAATGCACGGTTTCAGGCCGCATGAGGCAACCTATTTTGCTGGTGTATACCGAAAGTTAGAATTTTACTAAACGAGCTGCATGAACACTTAAGTGTAGGTGCGACCTTTGCGAGCTCACCTAAGACGATGCAACACGCTGCACACGAACACGCATCAACTCGAGTATCACGGTAGTTAATAAAGACGCGTGCCGGCGCGGATGGACACACCGGCATACCTTTGGCCACTCGCAAGGAAAAAAAATGAGAGACGCCAAACAGAACCTTGCCAAAACTTCTCTGATAGAAGTCATAAATTATAAATACTGTAGCTCTTTAAAATGGAATGCACAGCAGATGAAAATGCCTTAGACACGTTCACTACAGTAGCGCACAATTTGAACAGGCATGAACGCCTACAGCTAATAAACGCCCCAGAAATAATGAAAAAAAATAGTGGTCGCTCGCGAGCAGGGCCCCCCTCCAACACCACTGCCGACAGAGTTGGACAGCCGTCACAACTCTGCTCGAATCTGTCGCCGGATTCCCGCTACGCGTGCATGCTTCACGCTCCACACAAAAGAAAAAAACTTGTCCACGCTTAACTTCGCGCTACTTTGCCTTTACACTGCTGAAGTACTACAGAAAAGCTGGGTCCCCATGTAAACAAAAGTTCACTTATCGTGCACATGGTAGGAAAAACGTGGTGAGTGATAACAAAGCGCCGACAGCCGCAGTGTGGCACATACCTGGTGAGTCCTCCACGATACGAACCCACACGTCTTCGCTTGAGCATAGAGCATCTTCGCAATCAGCAGCACTGACATACCACAAAACACCAACACAAAGCGCAAGCACACTTTTGAAACACGAGAGAAATCGACTCAAACCCGGTTCTTCGAGAGGAGACTGAGCCTGACTGAGTGACCGGTAAACACGTCCAGACAAGTAAAAGGCAGCGTCTCCTGCGCCGCGTGGCGCAGCAGCCAGATCCACACAGAAGTGGCTCCTGCGCCGCACGGAAGTGACGTCACTTTAAAAATTACTAAAACTATTTAAGTGTATAAGTTATTAATGTGTAATGCGTTAAACCTACAAATATTTTACTAAGCAGGTGTTTAACAAGTCAATCAGCCCACAAGTTTATTCATTCAAGTTCATTGCTGAGTACATGAGTACAAAAAAAAATGAGCTCACATAATATATACAGCGTCAGGAGGTCCCAAAGTAAGAAACTGTCAGGGGGACCTCCTATTGTTAATGGGGTACATAAAAGGTAAGTAACAGCAGCAAAAGCTACAAGTGCGAACAAAAATAAAAAGTGCATTCAACACAGAACAATAAATAGTCAAATCGAAAAAGTTAATTTACCAGAACAACATTATACAAAACTACAAGAATACGTAAAAGCAGGAATTGAAAACGTAGAGGTAATAATGAAAATGTTTTATTACAAATGAACAAGGGGCTCAATTAACAGTATGCTTTTCATGTTATGTTTAAAAGACTGCAATGAATGAGACGACTTAACATGAAGAGGGATATTATTCCAAAGATGAACACAAAAGAAGCGTGCTGTGTATCTGCCATAGTTTGATCTGATTTTAGGTAAAAGGAAGTTATTACGCTCTGAAAACCTGGTATTATTGCTGTTGACGAAGATATGGAAAGGAATGTTATCAAGTGATACTTCGCGATGAATGAGACGGTATGTGATGAGTGACAATCTATGATAAAACAATTGTTGAATGGGTAGGATTCGAAGATGTTGATAGATAGGTAGAGAATGGCAACGGAATGGGCTAAAAGTCATTAACTTGATCGCCTGGTTTTCAAGACGTTGAAGCGGTTTGAGATGAATGGCGTATGTGTTACCCCATGATGATAAGCAGTATGATAAATGGCTATTAATATAAGCATGATAAAGTGAGATGAGAACATGAGGTTGAAAAAATGCACGTGTTGTAATGATAATGCGGATACCAAATGAAACCCTTTTTATAAGTGAATTGGCATGACTATTGTATTTAAGATGTTTATCGAGAGTAACACCAAGGAATTTAACATTGTCAGATGCCAGTAAAGTATAATTATCCAGCAAGACAGTTATGGAGGAAGAAACCACAGTTTGTGGGCTATGAAAGAGTACGAAAGTTGTTTTAGTAGGATTAATCTGAAGTTTGTTATTTCTACACCATGAATGCACGTTGTTAAGATCTGCATTAAGTGTGTCTTGAAGTGCGGTGAGCGATTTATGTGGTGAGTAAATGGTCGTGTCGTCAGCATATAGCAAACACTTAGAAAACGTAAGCGTATTAGGTAAGTCATTTATGAATAGTAGAAATAACAACGGACCTAATATAGAACCTTGGGGAACACCGCAGTTAATTAATTTAGTCGATGAAAATTGACCATTAAGATATACGACTTGTGGCCTGTTAGACAAGTAGCTACGAATAAGACTTAGAGTTGGGCCAGTAATACCAAAAGACTCGAGCTTATCCAGAAGAATAGAATGTTGTAGTGTGTCAAATGCCTTTGTTAGATCAATGAATATGGCACCTACAACGAACCCTTCGTCAATAAATTGTAATAATGTTATCCATGAATTTGAGCAATGCTTGTTCCGTTGAATAACCATTCCTAAAACCAAACTGGTGTGGGGAAAGAAGATTAAATTTGTTTAGATCGTGCATCAGACGACTGTAGATAAGCTCTTCAATGACGCCAAAAAATGGCAAAATGCAAATGGGGCGATAGTTGTTAATGTTATCACGAGAGCCTTTTTTGTACACAGGAATTATTTTACCACGTCTCAACAACTCGGGAAATATACCGGTTCTGAAAATTTTGTTAGCAATATCTGCAAAAACTAATGATATGTCTGCAGCAACCAGTTTTATTCTAGAGGGCCGGATGGAGTCCAGGCCTGGTCCCGTAACTTTGAGGGAAGAAATTACGTTAAAAACTTCTGAAGAAGAAACCGGGCGAAGGAAGAAGGACTGAGGGCTACGTGGAAGATGGGCTGGAACGCTAAGTGAGAGCGTATTTTGGCACGCGGCAATATGATCGCTAAAAACATTTGATATATCAGCTTCGGTAGAGTATTCCTTGTCTTTGTAAATTATTTTTTTAATGCTGGCATCGGACTCCCTAACATTCAGAAATTCTTTAATTAGCTCCCAATTACGCCGAGTATTTGTTCCGTTTTCAATTATTCGCCGTTCATAATATTCCCGTTTTGCACGTTTGAGGACGCTAGAAAGAATGTTGCTATAATTTTTAAATCTAGCTCGCAAAGATGCGTTGAAAGGCTGCAATTTCACCTTTTTGTGAAGATTATTTTTCTTTATTATTGAGCGCAGCAGCGCATTTGTAATCCATGGATTCCTAGGAGACGAGAATGTGTGCTTATGGGTTACATGGGTTGTGCAATCGTTAATGTAATTCGTTATTGTTGATAGAAAAATCGAATATGCCTTCTCAGGACAATCTTCTCGAAAAACGTTATTCCAGCATGTGTCATGCACTTTTCGTGCAAATAAAGCTTCATTGAAGCAATTTTTCGTATATTGACGGTGCTGTGCACGTTTTCCGGTACCAAGAGCGAAGAACAGGGGATAATGATCTGTAATGGAATAATCAATCACTCCGGTGGTGTAATCAGAGGTTGATGATGAAAATATGTGGTCTATTAACGTGCAAGAACCGGCAGTGTCACACCTAGTTGGAACATCAATTAAGGAAGAGAAACCATAGCTAAATAAGCAGTTGATATAATCAGAGCACGATTGACAGCTAGGAGGAAGTATGTTTATATTGATGTCACCACAAATGATGATGTTCTTATTTTCATTGGTTAAGAGATTAAGTATTTCTTCTAGCTGTGAACAGAAGTCCGAATAAGATGATGACGGGGAACGATAAATGGATGCCAGGATTGTAGGCCTGTTATTGAGTGGCAAGACATTCCGGTCGAACTCTAACCATACAGACTCGCACAATAAATTTTGGAATGAAAGATCGAGACGACGGGTGTACGCAATCGACGAATTCACAAAGATAGCAGATCCGCCACTTCTCTGATTTCCACGGTAACTATGTTCACTGATGTACCCTGGCAGATCAAATAGATTGCCATCTACCTGTGTCAGCCACGTTTCCGACAAACAGATGATTGAAAAGTTATGGTCAAGTATAGAAAGAAAGTTGATCAGATCATCGTGATGCTTACGAAGACTGCGAATATTGCAATGAAGGAATGAATATTGAGGTGGTTTATCATGGAGCAATGCTTTCGTTTTGTCACACGAGAACATGCCTCTGTTCATGGTAGAAACACAAAAAAAAGGATGTGCAGGCACACTGATTATGTAAATATGGCCAGGTCGTTTGCGTTATAAATACGATAAACACGACTATTTTCAGTCTTTCTGGCCTTAATCACACAATTTTCGGTCCAGAGGAATCGCCACCCTTTAGCCTTCTTCAATTCGAGAGCTTGCGCGAAAAGACGCTTGTTCTCTGGCGTGAGATGATCATTCACAAAAAAGGTGAGTCACTGCTTCGCGAAAGACCAATTGCAGAAGTGGTGAGTTTAGCTTTCCTAACTTTACTAATGAATTCCGTTCGCTTCGATCTCGAGCAGAAACGCGCGATGATGTTCTTGTCTTTTTTCGCGGGGACACGATGAGCGATGTCAATGTCAGAAGGTACAACAGGACAACCAATTTTTTTACCAATAGCTTGTATTACAGCCAGGCAATTTTCACCTTCCGTGACGGGAACACCTTTGATTTCTACGTTATTGAGGCGTGAATACTGCTCGAGTGACGTAAGACGTTGAGACAGCTTCGCGTTTTCTTCTTTCAGAAACTTATTTTCCTTCAAGATGGTTTCATTCTGAACTTTCACGGATTCATACAGTCCATTAAACATGCTCAGACTTTCTTGCATTGATGCCAATTCAGCACGTAGTGTTGCTATATCTTTCGCTAGCTCAGCACACGACGGCATCTTGAAAAAAAGCACGAGACACTGATGGCAACAGGGCAGCGACTAAGAAGGATTAGTACATGCAAAAGTTTATGTGACAAACCTGTACGAAGTGCAAGGACGAAATTAGTTGCTTGTCCGCTGCCGCAACCCTTGCTGCCAAATGACGGGCTGGCGCACAGGGCAACCGCTTTTGTAGGCAGTCCGGCTGATGAAGTCACTCCGATAGGCGTCGCTTCACTTCACCAGAGTGTTGATAGCAGCAGGCGCGAGTTGTGACGTGAACAGGATAGCTGACGTCACTTCAGTCGATGCCACTTGAAGCGAACAGTCCGTCGATGGCCGTAGGCGTGAATTGCAACCTGTACGAAGTGCAAGGACGAAATTAGTTGCTTGTCCGCTGCCGCAACCCTTACTGCCAAATGACGGGCTGGCGCACAGGACAACCGCTTTTGTAGGCAGTCCGGCTGATGAAGTCACTCCGATAGGCGTCGCTTCACTTCACCAGAGTGTTGATAACAGCAGGCGCGAGTCGTGACGTGAACAGGATAGCTGACGTCACTTCAGTCGATGCCACTTGAAGCGAACAGTCCGTCGATGGCCGTAGGCGTGAATTGCAACCTGTACGAAGTGCAAGGACGAAATTAGTTGCTTGTCCGCTGCCGCAACCCTTGCTGCCAGTGCAGTGTTAATAAACTCATAAAACAATTATGTTAAATACAAGGGGCGCCATGGGCGCTGCGGCTGCGGAAGGTAAACAGCGCGAGATGGTAGCTGCCTGTGATGTGTGTTGGTGGAGAAAACGGTGTGAGATGTAGCTGCCTGCGGTGTGTGTTGGTGGTGAAAACTCCGACAAAATCGTGGACATGGCCTAGGCCGCCCCCAAGGAAGGCTGGAGGCAAAGTTCCTTTTGGCGTTGCATAAATGGTTGCCAGACTGG